TCATTTTGAAAGTGGTTTTGTCTTTGTACCTTGAAGTCTGTGTTGAAACTCATTTTGTAGGCCAGGCAGAAGTGAAATCAGAAATCAACCTGACTCTCTGCCTCTGCCTCAGAAACACTGTGCACCAATCTCCACTGGAATACTCAGATATGCATGTGCCATGCTTTCTAGTTAAACTTTGGTTGAGGAGGGAAAGCCTACATGGCTGATAGGAATTCAGTTATTTTCAGGTTTATGAGGAAAAAATTTTTTGTTTTGTGTACTTTATATTTTCACTCGTTTTTAAGACAGGTCATGTCCCTTCATCTGTGCTCCACTACATGATGCAGGTCTTCTTTCTGAGAACAGAAATGAAAGTATTGAGCTACTTCAAATTAGTTTACCTCTACTAATGTTGTTGCTATCAAGATAAAGCAGACACACTGCAAGTCATGCATGAAAGTCCAGCCCCGTCAAAGAGAAAAGGGGACCTTTCTTGCTGCAGGGCTTAATAAAGCTTGGCCCTAATGCTCTTGTACTTGTAATTATGGATACATTTTGAATTTTAAAATCATTGAAATCCTGTTAGTTCTCTTGTCACTCTCTAGATTTTCACTGAACTATTGTCGTTTGTTTTTGGCTTTATCATTTACTCTGTGTGTGTATGTGTGTGCGCGTGTGTGCATCTCAACTGCCTCCCTGCCAACGGGCCTACTCAGTTTGAGCATGAATATGTAAAGATTTATAGTTAGATTTAGTGCAAAAAATAGTTTTCAATTTTTCAAGACATGATTTTTTTGTGTTGCTTTGACTGTCCCTGCACTCACTCTGTAGACCAGGCTAGCCATGAACTCATAGATCCTCCTGCCACCAGATTGGTTACATTACAGGCATGTGGGGATATTTCCAGCTCCATACTGGGTTTTCTTCTTTCTTCCCTTCTTCCTTGGTTTCTTTCTTCTACCACATCAACTTCTTCCTGTCCTTCTCCTTCTCCCTCTTAGACTTCTTTTTGTTCATCATCTTTCTGCCATCTTCTTCTTCTTTTACTTCTTCTTCTCCTTCTTATTTCTTTTGCTCTTTCATGATGAGGCTACTCTATTCAGCTTTTACTCACCTGAGGCTCCATTGAACTCAAACTGATACAGCTTCCTGAGTGCTGTTGATAGAACCTCTCATGGCCACTGCCCAGTAATTTTGCCTTTCAAGTCTTTCTATCTGGCAATTTAATTTTTTTTAATTACTTACCCCTTTGTGTTTATGTCTGGGCACTCCTGGAAATCCAGATCCTCTGACCCTCCTACACAATCAAAATAATTAACCTGGCCTTCATACAGGTAAAAATCAATAATAAATGAAGAAGATCAAAGGGAACTTGGCCTGGGGATCAGATGAAACTTCATGAATTGCTATAAAGCTGAACAAGTCTAGTAGTGTATGCTTACACAGAACAAACTAGTTGTGGTGCTTCTTTGAACTTGGGTTAGTATGTGAAGAAACACAGATTCTGATTCCAAAGTTAGTCTTGCTATGTCCACCTTTCTTTATTTCATAAGTAAAATCAGAGACAAAATATCAATGCCAATAATAAAACAAATATGTTTTTTTTAAATGTCAGAAAGAGTAAATGTATTTATGCTCACTCAAACCAGGGAAATAATGGCCACCCTCCCTTGAGAATTCCTTTCCTCACTGTAAGCAACCCCTGGAATCTCAACTGGGCAGAATGAATTCATCCAAACTTCTCTCCTTGATGCTCTTCCAATGTAATTCTACTACAGTGTTTGCCAACCTTCCTAATGCTTCCTATTTGTTGCATGCCGATCCCAAACCATAACATTAGTTGTTACTACTTCACAATTGTAATTTTTCATGTTGTGAATTCTACTCAAATGTCTGTGTTTTTTATTGGTCATAGGCAACCCCATTGAGAGTGTCCTTTGAACACCCAAAGTGGTCCATACAAAGATGTTGAGGACTGCTATTATAGAGTGTCCTGCAGGATCCTCTCTGTGTTTATGGAGATAATGGAAAACCTTGCAAAATCTAATGAGTCTGTTGCATAGAAATATAAAAATTTCATCCATTAAATCTCAGAATAAGGATAAAATTGTATTTTAGTTTCCCAACTAGGAAAAGACACCAGCAGCATCTCCAATAGACATGGGTGTAGGTGGAGATACCTGCAGGATGAAACATTCAAATGGAAGATGAAGAGCTGGTACAGGTCTTGAGGGGAGCCTGTATGAGGGTCCTTTGACTTGAAGGGAGCAAGGTGAATGCTGACAATTCCGGGCCTCCTGCTGAGTGGTGAGGCATTGGGGAGCAAAGCTTTTGCTTCAACAACAAAGGGCCACCTCACCTGTTCTTTCTCTTTCTGGTGAAGTGATTACCTGTGTCCCTGGGATAATTTCCTTGCTGCCTCTGATATTTGTTTTACTTGTGGATTTCCAAGAGATGGCCTATTGAAGTCCAGTCTGACCTTAAAGTTTATATAATGAAAGATAATTTTGAACTACCAGACTTGGGTTCACCTTCTAGAGCTGAGATTGTTCACAACACTTGCTTGTTTCTCCTCTTAATGCTGATCTTGCTTTATGTACTGGACTTGGTGAGAGTCTAACCTGAGAACTTGTTTGTGTGACACAGCCTTTCCTCCAGTTTGGTTTCTTTTTAAACCAAAGCAAAGAACTAGGGGCCTCCACTTATCCAAATGGGACTGAGCTAGGCTACCCTTTCACAGAAAAAATGTGGTCTCACTGGAGACCTGCACCAGTGCTCTTTCTATGGTGAGGAACAGCAGTGTTATTCGGCCTTCCCCCAAGGCAAGGTGAGCAGTTATTGCTCAGCTCCATAAGCATCTTTTCCTCTCAACCTCTTGAGTTAAAAGAAGCAACAAGGACAGTGTTTTCCCTTCTGCCCATCCCTTCCAGAGAAAGAGGGAAGCTCAAAAAATTCAGTGAGTTTTATTGGTGGCATAGACAGCTACCCCTTGGTCCTCCACAGTTGTTGAAGTCAGAGGTTTTAAGGATGTCTGCCTTCTGCTGATGGCATGAGACATGTGGATTAGGAAGTTTGGAAGACTTACCTACCATTGGCCCAAGCAACATGGAGAAAGTCGACTGCCAGCTTGTCCATGGTCCTTAGAACCCTTTGCAGCAGTTGAGATGAAAGGCAGGATTTCTCAGTAGCTAGTGTTGCAACTTTTGTGGGTGGAGCTTCATCAGTGTCTTGGAGGAAAGGGGTGTTGCCAGCAGCTAGCCTGTCTTTCTGTTATGAGAGCTTTTTAATTAAACATTTTAAATGCCTTATTCTCTAGATCTCTAAGCATTTGAGGGCTGTCTTACTGTTTAGCATACCTTAGTATACAAAATTTGTGTTTAGTTACTTGCCTTAAACACATAGGTGACTGAGTGATGGTTTATCCCTGTAATTAATTAATGTTTCTGGAAAACTGGATAAAAGCTGAGAGTCTGTGGAGGGATGTTTTACTCAGAGCCCTGCAGCCTGACTGTAACTGGTTTTAACTTAGTAGGTTAGAGTTATACCTGTAAAGGGCAAAGAGGTAGAGAAAAACTCCCTTTGATAATAGAGGCTTAACCTGTATAAACAGCTTACAAGAAGGACTGTATGGCATAAATATTTTGTTAGTTTAAATAGACATTTATAACCTTAAATGTTTACCACAGGACTACTGGTTCCCAACACTGCTTCCTCACTGACTTTTGAGCCATAATTCCAGGTTTTCCCACTCAAACTGTGGTCCTCAGGGAAGACTGGCTTTCATTTTGATAGATTAAGGAATCCCAGACCTCCCTTAATTACCACAACTAATGTGTTCCCTGAAGGTGGTCTTCTGTCCCAGGTGCCTGATATTGATGTTCTCTTGAGTGTAGGCCTACCCCACTATCTGTTCTGTTATCTCATGGGAGTATTTAACTCAAGGCTCTTTGGCATGAATATACATGTCTTGTGTTGGCTGATTGTGGATAGTATAGTTATCTTATTACCTCTGTCCACTAGCCCACTTGCTCAAGTATGACATGAGGTTGTCCTGTGTCCTGATATGTGTGGAAAAAACTATCAGCATGAAGGAGCATAACAGGTTTCCTTGCTAGAGCTCCAGAGTGATAAATACATATTGAAAAATATTACAGTTACTTAAAGGCAGAATGTTATAGACAGTTACCACAGAAGTATGTCATTGTAGGCTACAAATTAGTTGGGTCTTTTTGGATATCTGCAAATTTACAATATGCCGTAATTCACATTAGCTGTCAACTTAATGGCTGAGTTTTCATCCATTGTGCTTTGGTTACATCTGTGTGAGATTATGTTGATCAACATAGGGTGAACCAGGTTGAACTGCGCTGCATAAAGAAGGTACTGTGAGCAAGTGAGAGAGCCAGAGATGAGCTGACAACTGCATTCCTCCACAGTTTCTTCCCACTGTCCTGCTTGAGTCACTGCTGTAATTCTCATTAGGGACAGTGACCTGGAGTGTAAGCTAAGTAAGCCCCTTTCTGGCCTGCTTTGTGTTTGGTCAGTGTTTTACCACAGCAACAGAAGCACACCAGAATGGTAAGATATGATTTTCTTATTTGCAACTGTGGTGAAGTAAATGTATGTTTTATTGTTTATTTTCATCTTATTTGTTCTTTTTCCAAGATGGGCTCATAGCAATACAGTCCTTTCTGGCCTTGAACTTGTGACTCCTGTTTCAAGCTTCTGAATGCTTAGCAAGGCGTGCGTCATCCCACTGGTTTGTAATTTTCACTAATTAAATATGAGACGGTTACATTTAAGTTTCTTAATCTATATTTATTTGTTTTGAGGCAGGGTCTTGCTTTGTAGCGAAGGCTAGCTTGAAGGTAATAGCAGTCATCGGTCCATACTTCCAAGTGCTACAATTTTAAACTTGCACTACACATAGCTACCTAAATGTATGGGGCTTTTTTGTAAAAGTAAAAAATGATATATGTTTAGGCTTAAATTTTGTGATGTTCAAAACAATTGTGTTGTTTCTTTAAAGAGTCAGTTTTTAAAATTTTTCTGTATTTCATTCAAAATGGTTTTTCATTCAAAACTTCCTAAAAATTTGAGAAGCCCATGCATGACATTAGACACTGTGATCTCAAAACTGGGGTGGATGAAGGAGGGTTAGATGTTAGATAATAGGCAAGGCCTAATCTAGAAAAGTATCTTTTCTTTTTCTATCCCCCATCTACTCCTCAAAGGGAAAAGACCTATTTTCAATAGTCTACTAACTCTGACAAACCAAGCTGAGAAAGAAGTAAGGCACTCCATCATGTATCAAGAATGATCAAATTATGCCACCACAGGGAGTGGCCTCGAAAAAGCCAGTTCATGCACCTGCGATGGATCCTGATTTCACTGACAGGGGACCATCAACATATCATCGCATAAATGTCACCCACATTCAGGGAGTCTAGTTTGGTGTCATGAAGTTTCCGTAGCTCTCAGTCCATAGTCTGTGAACATATGAGTGACAGTAGGAGGAAGTGTACCTTTTTTTTTTTTTCTTTAGAGTTGGCTTTTCACTGTTAGATGAAGTATGACTCTATGGGTCACAAAATTGAGGTTTCTTATCTTCAGGGTGTTGCACAGTGTTATTAGTCAACTTCCTGTTGCCACTGTCTTAAGCTTTTAGGACTATAACTACCAGAACCATAGCTGCCTGCATGCTGCCATAATGATGATTAATTGAACCTCTGAAATTTTAACTGGGACTCCTCAATTAAATGATTTTATTGTTTATTCTTGTTTTGTTTTTAAAAGTTGTCAGGGCCCTTGTTGTCTCTTCACAACAATACAAACCTCACAAAGACAGAAGTTACTACCAGGGCCTGGGGTATTGCTGTGATAGGCTGGGCCTATGATATAGTTTCTCAGATGAGTTCTCAGTAGTGTTGTTCTGCAAGCTTTCCTCTCCCTTTATGACTCTTCATTGTGATTTCTTTCTCAGGGCTATAAGCAATTTGAAGAGCCAAGAAATGGTGCATGTTTAACTCCCATTCATTTCCCTCTAAAATGACTAGGTGAATACAGCATGAAGACCATGTCATGATGTAAGTGTGAGAAACACCAGGATTTTATAACTACATTGGAAAAGAAGAAGACATTTCTAATGTGAGTATCACACTTACTCATCCACACATGTATGGGATATTTTAGGATGCAGTGACCTATGATGATGTGCACATCAATTTTACTCAGGAAGAGTGGGCTTTGCTGAATACTCCCCAGAAAATGGTCTACAAGTATGTGATGCTGCACACTTAGAGAAATCTCACTGCTAAAGATAAGATTGCATTTACCTTCTTGCTTGAAAATAAGGGGACAGGTATCCTTGCTTATTGGTACTATTGTCTAATTTCAATTAAGTAAACACAAAATTAGTTGAATAAGGCATAGTTCTTAGAATTTTTTAATATATTAACTTACATTCTGTACTATTTTGATTAATATATGATATATATTCTGGTCTTATATTTCAGGCTACATTTGTGAAGAATTTACTATTGAAGAACATTGCCAACGTTCTAGAAAAAGTGAACGGTAAATACATTAATTTATACAAATTAACCTCTGAAACAATTTTAATTTTTCATGCAACTTTTACATAAAAACAACAGTGTACATAAGCACAGCTTAAACTTTATTGATTTTTCTTAATTTCTCAAAAACAAGTACCTGAATGCCACATAGCTATCCTGTGTTTTCAAGGAATTCCTGTGAAAAAAGACAAGGAGACAATGACTAAACACATACCACGGTTTGAATTATAGCCCCATGAAAGTTATGCTGTTTTTGCAAGACCCATTTTCTCTGTATGGCAGTGCCTGTCCATGGCATTTATTCTATAGACCAGGCTGACCTTGAACTCAAACATTTACATGCCTCTGCCTCCTGAGGGCTGGTATTAAAGTTTCACCTTTGGGAAACATAAAACCATGTGGGATACATGAGGAATAGTTATTGCAAATCGCTGAGGCTCTGAATAATCATATCAGGGTAAATTGAGTGGCACTGATCTTTCTGCAGTGAGAACAAGAGGTACGGGTGTTGCTGCCTTATTTGAGACAGCAGGCATACAGACATTTAGGGGCTTGTATGGGAAACTTAGTAGGTATAGGCATCTGCACCACCATGATATATGCCTGCAGACATGAACTCAATCACCAGAACACATCCATAGAAGATATATCTTATGGCATCTGCATTCCTCAAATCTACATCATGAGTAAACATAATGATAAATAGCAAGAATAATATTTAGTCATTCTTACTGGGATAGCGCAGGCTCTTCCTGATTTTAATTATTTAGAGATCTTTCTGCAAAATTTGAATTTATGTGAGTTTTAACATCCTAGTTAGTTTTGTTGTGTTGAGTTTTGCCTTATTCAGATTGGCTCCAGAACTTTACCAACCATTTTCTCTATCACAGGAAATTCTGGATAGGGTTATTACTGAAGAGGAGGGAAGCCTCTTGAGACAGCTTATCAAAAGAATATATGTTGCAATCTTGGCATTGTGCTGACCTTGCCCCCAAACTATGGGCAGGACATGCATGTCCAACATGGCCACATCATGGATACCTCTTCTCTCCCTCTTCTCTGCTCTGTGTTGGCTAACTTTTTTCATCACCCTTCTTTTCCCTCCAACAATGAACTCCAGGTGGCCTCATTGAGTTTTTTGTTTGCGTTTCATTGCTAACTGCTGTAGAAATGAACAACAATATCCATCTTTCAGGAAGAATTGAGTACCCTTTGTAGTGAATTACAAGGGAAGCCACATTTCAGGTGTGTCAGTTCAGAGTGATTGGGAGTTGGTGGGTATCTAAGACAGAGGAATACGTTGTGAGTTTAGCAATGCAAATGGAAGCATTCTAGTTGGAGGAGGGATATATATGACAAATGTGGAAGGAAGTTACTGTATTCACTCTTACAATATTTCTGTTTTATAGAGCATAATGATATATTTTTAAATTTTTATCTATTTATTTATTTTTTATAACCAAGTCCATTTAAATGAAAACAAACATTTATAGACAATATTTGGGAATTTGTGCGTCGTTCTTTCCAAACTACTTCCTGCTGGTAAGGGGCACTGTCTTGGGGGATTCTAAGAAGTTGCAGAAATCCTGGCTGTAGTCTGTAAGTCTGCATTGTCCAGCTGTTTTGAATGTAGGATCACCTGGTACTCTGTTTCAGGCAGTCTGGCTTCATTAAACCACATTAGTCTGGAAGGAATCCACAGCTTTTCATTTTCTGTGGAAACAAAAATAGAAATCCTTTTCCCCAGTAACTTGTCCTTCAACTTATATTTTGGAGTCAAAGCATTTTTTAATTTAATTTATTATTTTACATGTCAATCCCAGTCCCCTCTCCCTCTCCCTCCCTCCCTTTTACCCTCTCTGCCCTCTCACAGGCACCCTAATCACCCTCCCTTCCCATACCCCCCCACCCGAATTCCATATGTAGGGGAATGTCATCTATTTTGAGTCATGTATGTCTGACAAGTCATGTGAAGTAGGGACTATGGCTTCTCTCCTCTCTCTAGGTTAAGGCAGTTATCCCTCCATGGGAGATGTGTTCGTAAGGCCCTTTTGTGCACAAGGGATACATCCTGGCTCTACTGTCTCAGGTCCCTTAGACTGCTCAGTCCTTCTGCCTAAGACCCCTATTCAGGGGGGCCTGAGACAGTCCCTTGCTGGCTTCCCAGCTATCAGACTGGTGGCCCATTAGCTCCTCCTTATTCAAGTAAGCTATCTCTGTGTTTCTGCAGCCTTGTCTTGTCCTCTCCATCTGCATCTGGGTTCTACTTCAACTCAGTATTTGTGTATGGATGTTTGCTCCTGTTTCCAACAAGCATTGGTTGAGGGCTCCATGGAAAGTTAATTGTTGATCTCCCTATCCGTGAAGGGAATTTATGGTAGCCTTTAAAACGAAAGCTCAAATTGTTAGTTGGCGGCAGTCTTGTAGTTCTCTAGACCTTTCTTTGTGTACAATTTTATCTTCAAACCAATATTGGCTCCCTCTTTTATGTTCTCTCTCTCTCTCTTTCTCTCTCCTCTCTCCTGTCTTCTATTCCTAACTGAGCTCAATCATCCTGGTCGCACATTTTTTCATTTCCTCCCCCTTGTTTTCTCCTACTTCTCTCTCCATTCTTCCCCTGTGCTCTGGGAGACTTGTCCCTTCCCGGTTCTGTGAGGGACTTTATATGAATCTCTTAGAATACACCTTGTATCCTAGTTCATCTGGTGTTGTGAATTATAGGCTGGTGATCCTTTGCTCTAAGTCTAAAATCCATATATGAGTGAGTACATTCTATGTTCCTCTTTTTGTGACTGGGTTACCTCATTCAGGATGGTTTCTTCTAGTGCCATCCACTTGCCTGCGGATTTCAAGATACCATTATTTTTTTCTGCAGAGTAGTATTCCATTGTGTAGATGTGCCACATCTTCATTATCCATTCTTCAATTGAGGGGAATCTAGGTTGCTTCCAGGTTCTTGCTATTACAAACAGTGCTGCTATGAACATAGTTGAACAGATGCCTTTTTTGCATGGATGTGCATCATTTGGGTATATGCCTAAGAGGGGGATTGCAGGGTCCTGTGGTAAATTAGTTCCCATTTTCCTGAGGAACCGCCATACTGATTTCCAAAATGGCTGTGTGAGTTTGCACTCCCACCAGCAGTGGAGGAGTGTTCCACTTTCTCCACATCCTCTCCAACATGAGTCATCACTGGTGTTTCTAATTTTAGCCATTCTGGCAGGAGTAAGCTGGGATCTCAAAGTTGTTTAGATTTGTGTTCCCTGATAGTTAAGGATGTGGAGCACTTTCTTAAGTGTCTTTCAGCATTTTTGATTTCCTCTATTGAGAATTCTTTCTTCAGTTCTGTAACCCATTTTTAATAGGGTTATTTGGTGTTTTGTTGACTAGTTTCTTGAGTTCTTTGTATATTTTGGAGATCAGCCCTTTGTCAGATAAAGGATTAGTGAAAATCTTTTCCCAGTATGTGGGCTGCCATTTGGTCTTGTTCACTGTGTCCTTTGCCTTACAGAAGCTTCTAAGTTTGAAGAGGTCCCATTTTTTAATTATTTCTCTCAGTGTCTGTGCCCCTGGAGTTATGTTCAAGAAGTGGTCAACTATACCAACTTGTTCAAGGGTACCTCCTACTTTCTCTTCTAAGAGGTTCAATGTGGCTGGATTGATGCTGATGTCTTTGACTCATTTGGACTTGAGTTTTGTGCATGGTGACAGTCATGGGTCTATCTTCAGTCTTCTACACACCCTCATCCAATTGTGCCAGCACCATTTGTTGAAGATGCTGCCTTTGCCCCATTGTATAATTTTAGCTGTTTTGTCAAAAATCAGGTGTTCATAGGTGTGTGGGTTAATATGATTTTTAATTTGATTCCATTGGTCTACCTGTCTATTTTTCTGCCACTACCAGGCTGTTTTCAGAACTATAGCTCTGTAGTGGAGCTTAAAGTCAGGAATGGTGATGCCTCCTGAAGTTCTTTTATTGAATAGGGTTGTTTTGTCTATCCTGGGTCTTTTGTTTTTCCATATAAAGTTGATTATTATCCTTTTAAGATCAGTGAAGAATTGTGGTGGGATTTTAATGGGGAATGTATTGAATCTATAGATTGCTTTTGGCAAGATTGCCACTTTTATTATGTTTATCCTACCTATCCAAGAGCATGGGAGATCTTTCCATTTTCTGGTATCATCTTTAATTTCTTTCTTTACAGCCACAAAGTTCTTATTATATAGGTCTTTTACTTGTATGGTAAGTGTTACACCAATATTCTTTATGTTGTTTGTGGCTAATGTAAAGGGTGATATTTCTCTGATTTCTTTCTTTGTCTCTTTGTCGTCTGAAAAAAATTGCACTACTGATTTTTTTTTTTTTTTTAGTTTATCTTGTATCCTTCTAGTTTGCTGAAGGTGTTTATCACTGTAGGAGTTCCCTGGTAGAGTTTATTGGGTCGCTTATGTAAACGATCATATCATCTGCAAATAGAGACAGTTTGACTTCTTCCTTTCCAATTTGGATCCCCTTGATCTCCTTTTACTGTCTTATAGCATTAGCCAGAACTTCTAGTACGATATTGAACAGATATGGAGAGAAAGTGTAGCCTGGTTTAGAGGAATTGCTTTAAATTTCTCTCCATTCAGTTTGATGTTGGTAGTTGGTTTGCTGTATATTGCTCTTATTATGTTTAGGTATGTTCCTGTTATTCCTGACCTCTCCAAGACCTTTACCATGAAAGGGTGTTGAATTTTGTCGAAGGCTTTTTCCGCATCTCAGGAGATAATCATATGGTTTTCCTTTTTCTGTTTGTTTATATGGTGGATCACATTGATAGATTTTTCGTATGTTAAACCATCCCTGCATTCCAGGGATGAAGCCTACTTGGTCATGGTGGATAGTTTCTCTGATGTATTCTTGAATTTGGTTTGCCAGTATTTTATTGAGTATTTTTGCATCGATGTTCATCAGGGATATTGGTCTGTAGTTTTCTTTCTTAATTGTGTCTTTCTGAG